AACTAATAATTACATTAAACGGTCAGGATATTGTATTAATTGTAGGTACATTTGTCATTTGCATGTTTATTAAAAATCATATACCCAGATAATAATTTCATAATTATTGTCACGTGCCATTAAGCCGTGAACGTATATCTACAAAATATGTTATTATTTTTTCTTTCTAAAAAGTATTGTTTTGTGGGACTTTGTTATACTTTATTACCTGTCGTTTTTAATCTTCCTTTGCATTTTTCATCATTTTTTCTCATTCAAGCATACCCAGGCTATAATATTTGCGATATTTTTTAAATACTTTCTATATTAATAGTCGTCGTGTATAGCTAGAAGATGACCTTTAGTTGTCTCTACCACTTCAAACGATTTTTAATTTAAATTTTAAATCACAACACTGTTAACAAAATGGACTGTAGGTACCAATGCGGCAATGCGTATACAATACTAAATTACTAAACACTGTGAGTAAATAATAAATATTTCCGACGATGTTAACGAATGATAATAAAAATAAAATATAATCAAACATTATCGCCTTATCAATAATGATAATGATATCCTAACCATCGAATATCCACAATCAACCAAACTGCTGATCACAAATTGGTTTATCCAGTATAAATAAATATCACGGATCAACATATTTTCATACTATGGCGTATAACGTATAAGTAGGTGAATTGTGATTGACAAGTAAATAATTAAATCATTTATAGTAAAAAGTATTATATTATACCTATTAAAATATTAAATTAAGTATATTATAGTATATAAAATATTATAGATAGCACCCAAATCTTATATTTAGGTAGTTAGAAATAAATTAACCGCAAATGGCATGCAAAAGGTGCCGACCSCAAATATCCCGAAACCTCTTGCTTATCCATCTACAACCCTCGTCTCATACTGCAGTGGCGAATACATCAATTTTTATTTAGTGTTCATTTTGATTGATAGATACTATAATTTTTTTGTTTTTAACTTRTTATTCAWRTTTAACTAGTTTATTAATGGTAATTTATTAAAACTATTTAAGCATTGTAAATATTAATGTAACTGAAGTTTACTTTATTCTATCGGAAACCAATCAATATAATATTTTTGTAATTAATTTGTAACAATTTGCAACGCTTTTTTTACTGCTTTATATAATATGTTTGAATTTTCCACCAATAAATTTTCAACTACAGTACTTAAAAAGTTAAAATAGTAATCGATTTACTTAGTATCCATTATATATACTAAAGACATGGGTACCAAACTACCAACTACCAATTACTATGGACCTATTTCAGAAATTGGAAAATTCCTGTTCAAAAGAAATTATAATGTTTTAATAAGTAAATACCTACCTATTAATTTACTGGTAGGTATTGKCTCTATTGTCCATTTAAATAGTTGCATCACATAGCAACAGCTGTTTTTAATAAAGCATTATTTAGTTTTAATAAAACCTTATCTTAAATACATTTATTCATAATTATATATTAAGACTTGATTTTAGATCAACTAAATTCTACATAAAATTTACTAATTTTTATTTTTTTAAATTATCGAAATGGAAAATGGCAAATTGTTTTTAACAAATTTAGAAAAGCGAAAAGCGATAATCAAACAGCAATTTGAGTTTAAGCAAACATTGTTATGGTCAAATTTGAAATTATGGGAAGAACGCATTCAAAATTTTAAAGGTCGACGGAAGAATGAACAAATTGTAAAAATAGATAAAAATAAAGAGAAATCAGATAAAACAAAACTTCGAATAATTGAGTTGAATGATTTAGCATTTTATAGAACATTGGCAATGAAGAAGAAGAGAAAAAACAAAGATAAAAATACTGTGAAAAATTTAAAACATCTAAAAAGTTCTGCATTGATTACAAAACAAAATAAAGAATTGAAAAAGTATTGGGCTAAATATAGTAGTCAAATACGGACGATGGAAAATAACAAGTTATTGATAGAAAAATGTGTAGAAAACACACAATCATCAGTGGAAGAAGAGGAGGCGATTGACGAAATAGGTATTAATGAAGATGAAGATTTAGAGATGGAAGCCGAATCTTCAGAAAATTGTACTTACATTCCAGTGAGTGATATTTATGGTAACAAATATCCGTAGAAAATATTCACACACCCAATACATATTTTTAAATTATTAATTAAAATTAAAATTATAGGATTCCTAAAGAAATCATTTTTAAGACATATGCTCTCATTAATTAAATAATACGTTTTAATATTTGTGTACATAATATAATGKTTTAAAGGTTAAATTTAAGTGTCAAAATTTCATAAATAAAAATTAGGTAGTTGGTTTTAATAATTAATTTGATATGAATAACTACTAAATAATAGTTAAATTTGATTAAGCGTTAAATTCATTGAATTATTAATTAAACCAGCGGGGTTACCAAACTCTTTTGACTTAAGTTTTTTGAAAGTAAGATTTTCCTAAGGCGCATTTCTCAAGTCATAGTTTGACTAATTATAAAAATAAACTAGAAATAATGTTAAAGGTTAATAATATCAGGCTCTGGACACTCTAAAATGTTATCAATAATAAGCGACTATATTTTGACATTATGTATAATGGCCAAAACGATTTTCCCYAAAACAAAATAACAAATTTGTTTATCAGATTTCCATATACTTCTCGCATTATTCTTTATCAGTGTTTACTACTCTAATTTATTTACTTTGTGGTAATATAAAAATGTGTTTAATTAAAATCATACATWATTTATATATTTTTATTTATATAATCGATTATGATTCCGTTGCCACCACCATTATAGTATTTTCAAATTTATTTTTGAACCATATAAACTTATACAGTAGTACTGCGCTCCTGTAAGGACACAGTGGTGCAAACTTCGAGAACCACTAAATTGAGTTATTGAAAAATAACATAATATTTATTCTTTATTTATTCCCATTTTTCGAATTTATCAGAATAGTGTGATATACCATTGCATATACTCTTCTACCACATCAATACATATCATAGAAATGTTCTATGAAATACTTTACGCCTTGTTATTTATGAGTTATATCCACGCATTTACCGTTTTCAATTATCATTGTAATGTAATAATTGTATATATTTTTATCGCCGTTACATCGCTATTGTGTTCACCTAAAAATTGTAATATACTTGTATTTTATCAATCATATTGTAGACATTGAAATCCGTGGATTTGAACCTCACGTTTATACAGCGCATTGAGAATTTGAGGATAAACTCCACTAAATGCAATCAGGATGCAGCGTATTGGAATAAGACGGCACCACTTTGGAACAAAATGACTAAGTGTCTGCAGGCCAACATTGCCGAAGCATCAATGGTATCGAAATCTGAATTATCCGTTCCCAAAGTATACTTGGAAGAAAAAACAAGACGTTACTTGTTTGATTTGACGGATGATAGCCGCCCACCGTCGTTAATGCAGCAGATAATGATGAACGGTATCATAATTAGAAAATTGTATTATCATTATTATTTATTACTATGACAATATTTATCTATTATATAATACTAGCTGATCCCGTGCACTTCGTTGCCCGTTAAATGTACTTAATTTATATGACTCAAACTTTGTTCAATTCGTTATTTAATAATCGGTGTATGGATTTCAAAACTTATCTTAATTTTTCCGTTACCTGGAATAAAAATTCTGATTTGCAGAAGTATAATATTATTAGGTAGGCAATCTACCTGCTGTAGATCGCGGACTTACTGCTGTTTTTACGTAAGTTTATGATTTAACTCTAAAGTATTAAAGTTATACCAAGTTTCCATTTTTACTTAATTCCTCTAACGGTGAATTAATATAATCAAATAATACAAAATCTTTGATTATGCTAGCAGTATATTTTTATACATATAAATAGCTGAATTACCGCGTTGTCCAGGGAAAAAATAGCCCGGGAGGTATTCAACTATTTTATATAAAAAAAATGAGGATGAAAAMACTACTATTTTCTTATATTTTGTACCTTTTTTATGTATTAATTTATATATTATCTCTGTACATATTTCTATTAGTGTTATAATACTTCTTTGTAAACGATATTTATATTTTTTTTTTGCTCATTTTTTGC